AGAGTCCAATTCTGTTTCTGGCCCACCCTAAAAACTAAGCTTGGTGCTATGTGCCTGAAGTCCCAGTGGCTTGAGAAACTGAGGCAAGGGGATTGTGATGTAGCAAGACCCTGTCTAAGAAATAAATAAGGCAGTTTATGATGATTACACCATGTTCTCCTGTGATTCTAATTCCTCCTCTTCTTCGCATCCCATAAACTAGACCAGAGGAATGCAAACTGTGACTGTACTGCCAAAATCCGGCCTGTCATCTGTTTTTGTAAATAAAGTCTTATTGACATACAGTTGTGCCCCTTAATTTCCTTACTGTTTATAACCACATTTCCACTACAAAGGCAAAGTCAGGTAGTTATAATAGAAGTTATTTGGACTTTGAGAATGAAAATATTTACCATCTGTCCTTTACAGGAAAAGTGTGCCCACCCTTGAACTAGACTATAGCAGCACACACAGCTGTCACTACCCCTGGTCGTTTGAACTCAGGAAGAGTCCTAAAGAAAACACATACCATTTCAAGGAGTAAGTAGAAATAAGGGAGAACAGGGACTAAAGTAGAAGCAAAGACCGTGGGCAAGGCTTTGTCCTGGTAGGACACATCTCCTAGTAGAGAGAGGCATACTCTGCTTAGTAATGTAGGGTGGATAAAGGAGGAAATAGTGAGGATATTGCTGTTTGTAAGAAGACTGGGATTTTTGTTCACAGTAATATTGTTTCACTCTGCCTTAAAAGGAAAAGAAAAATGCAGCCTTACATTTTGGCAGATCTCAGAGACTATGGAGAGCTCTTTTCATAAAACTTAATCAGACAAGAGGAAGACCGCTCAGGTTTTTCAGCTGGGAGGCCACATACAATTCAAGTCAGAGCTGATGGCCCTTGGTGGGATGGAACAACCTGAAGTACAGAACACAATCCACCCCCCACAGCCTCCGGGCCCTTGTATCAGGCAGCCTGATGATTAATGTGTGAACCAGAAAGACATTTCATTGACCATCTTAGAGTTCTGTTAGCACAGCACACTCAATAAATATTTATTGAATGCATTTTCCAAGGGCCTACGGCACTTGCTCAGTGATGTCTTATAACTGAATAAGCAAGAATTGTTCAGGGGTGTTCCAAACAAATACAGAAATGTATGTTAATGGGATCCAAGCTGGGACTAGGGACGAGGAAAGAAAATACTCATCTGTCTGTGTGCATGCTATCCAAATGGCATTAACTTTTGGGTAAATAAGAAAGAAGCCTGTTGATGATGACATGCCTAGTATTCTCAACTGGACTGAACTGAGATGTATTTCATGTTAGGTAAATTTCCTATACAAGCTAAATAATGTACAGTGATTGAATGTATACAAATAATAATAATAATAATTTCAATTTAAAAAATAAATTAAATAAAATTAAAATTTTTAAAAAGGGAAGAAAGAAGTATGTTACATCATCCCCAAAAGTGAGATTTGCAAAATAGAGAAAAAAAAAAAAGAAAGGAAGAAAGGGAGGAAAAGAATAAGGGAGGGAAGGAGAGAAATTCATAAATGGCTCTGTTTTGAACAAGTAAAAATATATACATTTTTTAAAAGACAATCTTTTTTATTCTCTCTGGCTTAATGTGGTTAATACTTTCATCTGTCACTAAAATGGCTCCTACACTCAAGGAATGGCAGAGCGTTAACTGAAATAGGTTCCCAATTGCAATGTTTGCAATAAAGATAAAATATGGCTCTCTGCCACCTCGCTGGAGCTCCAGCACCAATACGCTGATGCAGTCCCCTCGAGCCCAGTCACATTAGATTCTGAATGGTGTGTCGCCAATTTGAGCATGTTACGATTTGTTTATTTAAGATTGCACATTTATCCTGAGTTGGAAAGAAATGAAAATCTTGCATTTGAGATAATATTAAAAGAAGACAATGTAATTGTCACACTGTCCCCCATGCCACCTCCTCAAGCTCCTGCAAAGCCTGAGAATGAACAGCTGCCAATGAAGGGAAGAGTCTGTGGGGTATAGGAGGTGAGATAAAGCTACTTCGTGGTTGCATGTCCAGCTTTGTAGAGGAAAATAATCTTGCTTGTGGGAAATGATCCAATCATTAACATGCAATCTTGTAGTGTTAATGAAGACAGTCAAAGAGATTCTGGCCATGACTGTGCAGGTCCAGCCCTTCAGTGAGTGGAAAGAAGGCAGACATTGGTTTTACGGGGTCGCTTCGATTGGCTCTGATTCTCGGGTTCCCCCATCCATCATTACTCATGACTGAAGAAGGAACCCAGGCTCCACTGCTGTCAGGCAGCAAGGAAGACACAGGTCCAAGAGACATAGACACCTCAAGGCTCTTTCCAGGGATCCACCTGATCATTTAGACTAGGCACACTGGGCCTCCCTTGGCAGGAGCTCTGTTTGGAGGAATAATCTACAGACAGGGCTTAGTTTGCTGCATCTGGGAGTTGTCTTTGCCCTTGATGACCTTCCTTTGAATGATAGGCTTTATAGCCACCAGGGAACCTGGCCAAATATTTTAGATTACTACTCATCCCATCATAATATTGTCTCCAAGTCTCCCTAGTTCTACTCTCTCCTGATTAAAACTACATACACACTTTCTGAAATAGGCAGAAGGAAACATTACTGAGGCTTTCTTCATGATATATCATGACTTTTTTTTTTTTTTGGTAGAGGTTTTTGCTACAGGGCACATGTGCTCACCAGACAGACAGAGAGAGACAGAGAGACAGAAAGCGAGAAATCACCCCCTGGGGGGATGGCCACTCTGCAATCCCTTCTCCTCCATTCTCTTGGGATCTTGGGCACACATGCACATGCGCCCAGCATGAGTTTTAAGCCACCGGGTCCGGGACACAAACCACAGTCGACTACATGGGAGTCCAGCAACATAACCATTATGCTAACTGCTGGCCCCTGACTGTGTAAACAGAGACTAACCTGAATCATTTTTCTAATATCCAGATTCCATACTCTGAACACCTTCGGTGGATTACTCTGACAAATCAGAGAAAGCAAACCTAGATCCCCAGCACGGAAATGCAGAGAAAGGTATCTTAATGTTTCAGGTGATAAAAGGATGCTCAGAGACGTCTTCATGAAACTGATCTATCAATCTTTCCAGACAGAAAGTCAGATCTAACCCTAATACAAAAAAAGGAAAAATGCTCCAAATGCTTCCTGCTCTTGGAGCAGACATTCCCCAGGCTCACTGTGTGTTAGCTGGGCCCACCTCATTAAGCCTCTCCGACAGACCGCCTGCCATTCCAAGACTCGATTACCTCTGCAGCTTCCCTAAGGTGCTAAGGTATTGATCAGATTACCACTCGTGGTCACTGTCATGATCCATGGGTACTTACTTACTCACCTTTTTTTCCCTGGAGAAATGAGTAGCAGCTCAGAGCCCAGAAAGCAGAAGCACTGTGCCAATCAGACATCAGGTGTCCAATGTGAACTTGTTGAATACATCCCAAATAACACTGCTTTATTTGTAACCCTGGTCCAAGTTCTGGCCCAGAGATCCTACGAGTCCAAAGAGCACAGTAAAAGATCCATATGGAACTGAATGCAGCCAGCCGACAGCTGTGCTGCTATTGTTTATGCATTTCTGAGGTCTCCACTGGCCATTCTGTCCCAGGGAAGTCAAAAATACCTGTGTGTCAGGGAATTAAATGTATAATTCTCAGGCTTTTGTCAGATAATATTTAAACCCTGAAGGCTATAAAAGACATCATTCCTACTCTAAAAAAAAAAAATGCATATTTTAAGGGATAGATTCACAAACTTTGCAAGAAAAATACACATAGGGAAATGCCTGACTGTATAAAAGAAAATGAAATTAAAAGTAAACAAATAAATAAAAAAATAGAAGAGGCTGAATTGATGTAACTATAAAGGACATGGAATGCTGAATAGAATATTTATTATTCCTCAAATCTCCATGGCATCATGGACGCTGTGAACAAATTTTAAGAAGTCAGCACACTCATTCAGACAACACTGTTTAGGACCAGATCCCAGGCGTGAGGGGGAGGAAAGGGTGACATCTCAAGGTTGTCATTCACCGTGCTTCCCTCTTCCTGCAATGAGTTTTCAGCCACCCTGGTCTTTCACATCTAATCTGTCTGCCTCAACAAGTGGAGACTGGCTTTTTCCTCTTAAAGCACATGTGGCTAGCCACACACGGACTCCTAGACACCCAGAGTTGACAAAGACTTCTCCAGGAGCTGCTGTCTTTCAGGGCGTCAGGCTACTGCTTTCTCACATGTGTACATCCACTTCTCCCCAAATTGCATGGACCGCTGTAGGCCTGCTAACCACTCGCAACTCACCCAGCGACTTTAAAAACTATCGTTCCGTGCACCTTGAGAGAGACAGCGAGAGAGAGAAATGGACTCGATGCCACACTCCTCCAGCCTCCACAGGGCAGGCGCTTTGTAAGCCAAGTAACATGTGACTGAATGTGTATAAAAGAAATTGAGGTGAGAAATTAACATAATAATAATAAAAAGAAACATAATAATAATAAAAAAAGAAATAAAAACTATTGTTTCTAATGCTATTACCCTTTGATAAGAGACTGTCTTTGTATGGAGTACACTTAGAACATCATCTTGGTTTTCTAATTTCACCAGAAACCCCTGACCTATGCATGGCCGTCACATGGCCAGTGTGAGTCTTTCAATGTGAAAGTGTTTCTCCTGGAATGTGGCTAGGTGGGTTATAAAATATTGAGAAATCTAGCTGGCTTTTGTTATGGAGTTTAGAATTATAAAATGTAAGTCATACATATGAAGGTTAGAAATTGGAAAATGGTTGTAAAAACCATGATGGGAAGATTCATTTGCTATACTGTAATGATACCCAGTGATTAAATGTATAACATTACACATTTTAATGAGAAAAAAAATCAAAAGATTTCCAGGAAAAAATACATAGTCACTGGTACAGATTTTGGTGGCCAAGTTAATAAAAAAAGTCTATCTGTTCTTCTCTCTTCCAGGTACATGGCCATCATTCACCCCCTCCAGCCCCGGCTGTCGGCCACCGCCACCAAAGTGGTCATCTGTGTCATCTGGGTCTTGGCCCTCTTGCTGGCCTTCCCCCAGGGCTATTACTCCACCACAGAGACCATGCCCAGCCGAGTCGTGTGCATGATCGAGTGGCCGGAGCACCCCGACAAGATTTACGAGAAAGTGTGAGTAGAGAGTCCTCCCCACTCTAAAGTGACGATGGTGCAAGGCCTTCCTGGCCCTTCCTTGTTTTTCTTCCTCTCCATATTCTTTGGTTTGTCTGGATGCAATGTAGATCTGTAAGCATGTCTCACATCCCACTCAATATATGCAGTTATCAGGGATCTATAACGCCCTGAATACTCTTCTGGATTTTGAAAAAGATAGATAAGACTTAAGTCCTATTACAGCAGACCTTCAGGTGCCCTGCCATCCCCCTCAAGCCTTTTACCAGAGACATTCCCCTGTCGGTACCAGCATTTCTTTGACGAGGAACTTCTTCCTGAGCTACAGAATGCCACTCTGCCTTCCTGCATGGCCGGCTAAAGGTGGAGAAGCAAGTGCCTGCTCCCAGCCCCTCTCCACAGTGATTGATTGGAGTTGCCATCTGAGTAGGCACTGCCTCAGCCTCAGGTGGGACGTCTCTGAGGCCGGTGTTTTATACCGTGTATAGGTTTCCTCTGGGATTAAGCTCTAGTTGCCCCACTGATAGCTGACTCCATAATGCCACGTCTATCAGCCAGCACCTCTTTCCTGTATCCCTTCCCTGCTCCCTACTGGAAATGTGTGTCTCCTCCCAAATAAGATACTTGCACTTGAACCTTTACCTCAAGGACTGCCTCTGGAAAAGACCAAACGAAAACACCTACAGCTAGAGAAATAATAACACACACACGCGCGCACACACACATACACATGTGTACACCTTTGAAATGTACAGGAATACAGGGTCAGTTCCTAGAAACCTTATGAGTAAAATACCCCTGACAGAGCAGGCCTGCTTACCCTCCAGGGTGCTGGTTGATCACATTTAGGGTTTTTCAAACTATCCTGGTAATTTTCTCCAAGACCTCTTATCCTAGAGGCAACAACAAAATGGCTTATTCTTTGTTTTGCTCTGCTTGGATAAGCAGCAATATGACATTTATATTATCATTAGTTTCTGGGCTCAGAGCACATAGATAATGTGGATGTTTTTGCAAGCTCTTTATAATTCTCCAATCTTGGGTTTGTTTTTTTTTTTTCCTGTGAATCATAAAAAGAACACTCATGTTAGAATCCTATTACAAGCTATGTGACCCTGAGCAAGGATCACAGCCCCTCCTTGTGATTACAATGGAAGATAATCAAGTATTATTTCCGATAAACTATTGTTGTGAAGCTCAAGTGAGGTAAGGTAGTCAGTCTCACCTTGGAAGGTAGTAAATGCCATGCAAAAGATCTGAACCAAATTCACCAGATAACAGTATAATGAGGAGGTGCTGAAACTTATCAGATGATAAAATGAGATGCTATCCCTGTCACTTCTGCAAGATCTGAGGGCTCCAAAGCCTCTCGCAGGCAGAGTTATACTGCTGCCTCTGTTCCACAGAGCATGGAAATGTGCCTTTGCCAGAAAGCAATACATAAAGCTCAGACATCGCCTTCCAGACACAGACAGTGGGATTTAATCGATCAAGCAGTGGGGGGATTAATGCTCAGCCTAGAAGGAGACATTGAAAATTATTCTTTCAAATGAAACTACAAGCCTGAGCAAGGTCTCAGCAGGAGAAAGAACACAGCTTTACAAGCCGTACAGGACTCGTGAACACGTTCAAGCCAGAAGGTTTCCTCAAAAGGGGAAAGAAAAAAAAAAAATCTCTGAATTAAGCTTGTTAGGTAAACTGCTTCAGAAGCCTCCATTAGCTTCATGGGCCGTAGCTCAGTTCTCGCTTCGCAGGATCTTGTCCAAGTCTGATCCACTTCCTACAACTTTTGTTTCAAAGATAAAGGCGCTTTTTTTCCCCCCAATCTTACAATAAATATAAAGATTCACTTAGAAATAATAAAGATTTCTTTTCCACAGATCTCTGGGGTCTTATCCAAGAAAGAGTAGTGTCTCAGCTCTTACCTGTGAACATTTTGATGTTACATGCTTATTACCGACTAGACAATCCTTCTGGGACTCAGCACAATATCCTGGATGGTCCTATTCCCTTGCTTTGAGAATTTAGGGGAGTTGCTACTAGCTGCAAGGTCACGTTTGCCATCGTTGTTCACTTCACCAGTTTATCTAAAAAAAAAGAAAAAAGAAAAAAAGAAAAGAAAAGAAAGGAGAGGAAGAAAGAAAGAAAGAGAAAGAGGAAAAGAGTCTAGCTTAAGAGCATATGAATTTGTCTATTCAAAGATGAATAACATGTATATCAACACAACCGCAGATGAAGAGTCTACCTTGCCATTTACATACTGACTGTGAGGCAAACATAAATTGAGTGTGCAGCAAGCTTTATTCAAACCTATTTCCTTTCTGTCAGTCCCCTTCATAGTGTACTGTGATATATTTGGGGGGATTTAAATTTTACCAGGTCTAAACTAAGTATTTAATTATGTCCTTTTCTATTAGAATGAATGGTTGCCATTTCCACAGTACACAATTATCCTAACTTTGAAACCAGATGGGAACTTTGTTTTGAGGTAGTGTAATTAGGGTAGTGTAGACTCTGGTGTTGAATGAAGGATTAACTCACAGCTCCACCACTTTCTAATTGAGTTATTCATCCTGGTCAAGTTATTTAAGCCTCTAAGTCTAATAGCACATTCCATATACAGATGCGGAGAGCAGTAAGTAAAACAACCTGCATGAAGTCCTCAGCTCAGTGAGCCGTGTGGGCGAGAGTCTGGCAAAGTTCAGCTGCCAATGTTAGTGTCATCTTATTGATCCAAGTCCACTGGCAGTGACAGTGCACTGGGCAGATGCTTAGGCCCAATTCATCTGATGAATGTTTTGTCAGATAATTACATAAAAGCATTTTGTGAAAAACTTTAGATCACTGAGTATGCCTTCTGGTTGCATAGTAAACCTCCAGCTCTGATCATTGATCATTCGGACTTTTTATTAATACCTGGATTAAGTTTAGCACTCTTGATGACAGGCAAGCCAGTAACAGTTGGACAAAATTTTCAGAATGTATTTCACATAAACACACACACACACACACACACACACACACACAAAATGTCCAAATGGCCGGTAAATATATGAGGATGCTTACAACTTCGTTCATCATTGGCAAAATGCAAATTAAAACTAAAATGAAATCTTATATTATCAAACTTGCTAATGTTAAGTCTGAGAAAAACGAAGTGTTTCACGAATGTAGTGCTGCTATGGAGTAATGAGAACCTTTTTTGATGTCTAAAAGAAATTTACCTTGATAAAAACACATTGGCAGATACTCCTATGGTATCCAGAAAAGATGAAGCCGTGTATATCCAAAACAGAAATTTTGCTCTGAGCCAATTACCCTAAAACAACTCACATGCATATGTGTCCAAATACATTGTAATTCTTAATGCCCTAAGCCAGCATTATTCCAAGCATCCATCAGCAGCAGTACTATAGATAAAAAAACTATGGTATAAGCATGCTATGGAATACTATGTAGCCAGTAAAATGAACAAACTGTAGCTTTATACAATAGGGGTGCTCTTATAAAATTCTAGAACAAGCAAAATGAAATTACGACTTTAGGCATACATAAGTAGGTAGTAAAACTATAAGAGGTCTTCAAAAAGTTTATGGAAAAGCATGCTGTGAAGAAACTATGCCTGGAGTTCAAAAAAATTTTTTTGCATTAAAATAAGCTCACGGAGCCAGCGGGTAGCATGGTGAATAAGGTGTTGTACTCTCACATGGTGAACTATGGTTTGAGAGATGGATCTAGCGGCTGGACAATCACACCGGGCACATGCACGTGCATGCCCCAGATCCCAGGAGAATGGAGAAGGGATTGTGGCATGGTCTTCCCTCCTGGAGGGCGATGTCTCACTTTCCTTCTCTTGCTCCTTCTCTCACTCTCTGTCTCTCTTTAGTAAGTGCACACACCCTATGACAAAAACCTTAATACATTTTTAAAAAGTTGCATTTTAATTCCATTTTTCCATGAACTTTTGAAGTCCCCCCCATATAAAATGCAAACAATGAAGCAGTCACTATGGAAATGGAGACCACAGTTATCTGTCACAGGAGAGAACATGGTTTGATTAAGACGGATCATGTAAGGATGCCTCCGAGAGTATGATGTTGTGATATTTCTCAAGCTTAGTGGTTGTAGCATGAGTATTTGCTTAAAAATTACTCACAATAGCAGATCATTTAATTTATGTAATTTTCCTGGAGAGTAGGTTTTATATTTTTTTGTGGCATGGTCTTCCCTCCTGGAGGGCGATGTCTCACTTTCCTTCTCTTGCTCCTTCTCTCACTCTCTGTCTCTCTTTAGTAAGTGCACACACCCTATGACAAAAACCTTAATACATTTTTAAAAAGTTGCATTTTAATTCCATTTTTCCATGAACTTTTGAAGTCCCCCCCATATAAAATGCAAACAATGAAGCAGTCACTATGGAAATGGAGACCACAGTTATCTGTCACAGGAGAGAACATGGTTTGATTAAGACGGATCATGTAAGGATGCCTCCGAGAGTATGATGTTGTGATATTTCTCAAGCTTAGTGGTTGTAGCATGAGTATTTGCTTAAAAATTACTCACAATAGCAGATCATTTAATTTATGTAATTTTCCTGGAGAGTAGGTTTTATATTTTTAACTCAAGACTAAACCCTATGCAAATATTTTGTGAAAAATTGTAGATCACTGAGTATGCCTTCTGGCTGCTTGGTAAACCTCCAGTTCTGATCATTGATCATTCAGACTTTTTATTAATACCGGGATTAAATTAAGCACTGTTAATGACAGGCAAGCCAATACAAGTTGGGCAACAATTTCAGACTGTATGCAAAGATTTTGTTTTTGTTTCTGTCTTTTACAAGCTCCCAAGAAACTGCTTTTATTGGGATAACCCTTAAATTTCCCCCAGAAGACGTCATTTCCCAGAATGTGGGGCTTGACCTGAGATGACATTATTTATAGGTTCTTACCCTTTAATGAGCAAAGTGCAAATGGTTTCTACCCTGTTCTGATGTTTCC